ACGTTAAAATTAACATGCCGTTCTTTGCCCCAGTTAACAACAGACTGTAGGTCGTTTTTTTTACCTCAGCCGCGAATTTGACCATATCGAACTGATCAGACTTGCTATGGAGACAGGAGAATATCGTTTTTTTCACCAGCTTAGCTATCAGGTGGAGAGTTGACACCATCGATAAGATCCTTAATGAAAACTAAAACTAAAATATGGCCAAGGTCTGAAACCTGGAATTAGCTTAAAAGATTTGTCAATTTTTTCTTTTCTTTTTTTTTTTTTTTTACAAATCAGCTATTCCCCACCCAGTAACCTCTTATGTCTTAGTGACTTTAGACATCAAGTTGAGAGCTGATGTCGACAGGAAGGTTGTTAATGAAAGTTAAAAGTTAAAAACAAAGTTGTACCAAGGATAAAGCAGTGGGAAAGTGACTGAAGTCGAGATGTCAGGTCAGGACCAATAATATTGCTGATTTTTCTTTAGATTTTATAAAGAATCTCTAAATATATAGCAGGAGCACTGGACTTTATGTGGCAGCGATATTCTAAGCACAGGTGAATGATAAACTTATAAAAATGTAAGATAGATTCTAAAGAGAAAAATTGTCTACCAATGACTCAGTGAACCAACTTTCTTAGCAAGCTGACCTAACAAGGGATTCAATATAGTCTTTCCACTTAATGTCAGCTGAGAATGTTAACCCAAGAAGGCGCAACGACTTCCCCTCGTGGGGGATAGCATCCGCCATACTGATGGAAGGCAGAAAGGGGTCTCTCAGATGATTAACAGAGAGCAGTTTTATTTTAGACGCCAACAAGTCATTCTTTGCCCCAGTTAACAACAGACGGAAGGTCGTTTTTGACATAATTCGCCAATTTGACCTTATCGAACATATCAGGCTTAGTATCAAGACAGACGTAAATGGTTGCTTCATCAGCATCGATGCTAAGTTGATAGCTGATGTCGACAGGAAGGTCGTTAATGAAAATTAAATACAAAGTTGTACCAAGGATAAAGCCCTGGGGGACACCTGCATTTTGAATGTTCAATTTATATTCTTTACAGCAGTGGGAAAGTGACTGAAGTCGAGATGTCAGGTCAGGACCAATAATATTGCTGATTTTTCTTTAGATTTTATAAAGAATCGCTAAATGTTTAGCAGGAGCACTGGACTTTATGTGGCAGCAATATTCTAAGCACATGTGAATTGTAGACTTATAAAAATGTAAGATTCCGAAGAGAAAAATTGTCTAGCAATGACTCAATGAACCAACTTTCTTAGCAGTTGACCTAGCAAGGGATTCAATGTTGTCTTTCCACTTCATGTTAGCCAAGAATGTTAGCCTGAGAAGGCACGAGTTACTCTCTTGAAGGTTAGCATCTCAGATATAACTAAAATACGCCGTTGAACAATGCTGGTGTCAAACGCCTTCGAGTATCACTCGCGATAATAGTACTTGCTCGATAATATTCGCTCGAAAAGTAACCATCGAATAGTAATCCGAATAGAGAAATAGTATAGTGAATTGAGTAGAGAATAGCGCTTCGTATAGTAATAGAGGATAGAATAGAAATAGCGATCAATTAGACACCACGTTACCTTCCATATATGCGTTTTCTCTATGGTCACATGGTCTACTTAATTCAATAATGGGATCGCCTGTGTTTGCACACTGGTGATCTATGTTCAAACTCAAGTGTCGGTAGCGATATTTTTTTCCTATATAAAACTAACTTATTATGAAATGGACAAAGTCCGACAATTAAAAAGAATGTATGAACATAAAATGTCTTAAAATAAAACTAAATTAGTTCAGTCTCTTTCGAGGTTGTCTTGTTTCTTGCTACGGGGGAAATTTTTTTTTTTTCTATTTTTTTTTAAAGCCTTATTCTTCCTTCAGTGTGGCATTTGTATTAAAATATCTTAAAAAGAAATGCACACAAACATAAGTAAACATAATAACAGCAATCAAAAACAAATAATGAATTTGTAACTAATCAGGGAAAAAGGTTTATTAATGAATATACATTTTTTCTCTCAATGTTTCAAAGATTAAGAAATCAGATAAAATAATTATCAAAACAGACAAGATGGGTAATCATTACGAAAACGATGTGGATAAGTACTAAAAAGCTATTAACAAAGAAGTTAATAAGTTTTATGAAAAGGCACCTGACAGCTGGGAGAAAGACATTAACAATAAAGCCAAAAATAACCATAGAATTAAAAATTGATAAACAAGCATTTATCACAATTAAGAACCATAAAATTAATTATAGTTGAATTTGAATTGGATTTTAAAATTAAATACACATAAACTAGGGTTGAATAGGGACTTGGGTGTTTTAAATCTTTATAAATATTTCAATAGTTAAGCAATTTTTTTAGATATAGTAAAAATTTTTTTTTAAAGAACATTTAAAATATTTATGACAGTTAGATTTAAGTTAGGAATATCCGAACAGTGACGTTCCATATCACGTGACGTCCGCGTCTCGCGAAGGATGCTACTTGCTAACAAACAGTAATTTTAATTTATTTGTAACAAACAGTTATTTCTGATGAAAAATTGAGGACAATTTGAAATATCAAATATATATAAAATAAATAAATACTTTCATAAAATAAAACATTATTATTTTTAATTTGAAACTTTTCTATATATATATTAAGAAAAGTATACGTGGCTTCTTATGCTATATATATATATATATATATATATATATATATATATATATATATATATATTATGGCAAGGAATAAGCGGAATGTAAAGGACATAATTATGAAAACTAAGAACTAAAACAAACAACCGGTTTCGTCCCAGTACTCCTCAAGTTTGATACACTGGGATTATTTAATCATAAACTTAAAACAAAAAAAAACATTCAATGAGGGGAAAGGAAAAAAAATTTTTATATATGATAGAAAGAACTAGAGCCCAATCACATTCAAGCCCAACAAGCAATCTCTGCTTACAGAGAAACGGCCTGCGGGACTTGATGTAAATGGACACAAGAACCTTCAAATGATATGCAGAGTGTGACTTCGCCAGAATGGAAAAAAACAGTCAACACTCAAACCAGCAACACATTCCCTGCTAGTTATAGCATGTTCCGCTATAGATGACCCGGATGTATTCACTAGTTGGCTTTTGTTAGCGGCCGGATTTAAAATTCTTGGGGGTAAATGTTGTTTAATTCTAAAATCCAAACGCTGGGACGTTCTGCGTATGTAGTCACATCCGCAACCACATTTAAATATATATATATATATATATATATAGAGAGAGAGAGAGAGAGAGAGAGAGAGAGAGAGAGACTTTTGGAATGAGGTCACTGTTAGATTGGCTGACCTTTTGGATCTTTCTCTCGCTTCTTGAAGACGATTCAGAGTAGCAGATTGAAAACCGCTGAGTCCACTAAAGCAAGTTGATCTCCATACTACCCGCCCAAAGGCTTATCACTCGAGGATGTTATGAGATATATTGACAGCTGACAAGTTGCTCTTCAGCTTGTCTTTGGATCTTAGCCATGGGCGTCCTACATTCCTGTAGCCCTGATCTAACTGGCTGTACATTAGGATCTTGGGTATCCTGCCATCAGATATTCTCACGACATGACTAGTCCACTGCAACTGAGACTGTATGAGGAAAGTTTCGATTCCTCCAATATTACACCTGTTAAACAGGATGTCCTGTCTTGAAGGCTAACTCCACAGATGGCACACAGACAAGCTCTTATGGAAAAAAATTCCGCTGGGGTATATGGTACCTGTATGGAGTCTACGATTCTGAGCCATACAAAAATTTGGCAAGGAAAACAGCTCTGTAAAACCCGAATTTTCGTATCCTGTTGAATACCCCGTTTATCCTACAAGCGATGGCGAAGTTTGCCGAAAGCAATATATATATATATATATATATGTTCTACTATTGTATTGAGCCCTCTTTTAAATTAATGTTACGAACGTTGGAATGTATATTCGATTCGTTCTCATTTCATATGGATATATATATATATATGTGTGTGTGTGTGTGTGTGTGTGTGTGTGTGTGTGTGTGTGTGTGTGTGTGAAGTAATGCACAATGGTCGTTTGTTGGTAATAAATTAGCAATCTATGTATAATAAGAGAAATAAAATTTATATTGATAATAAATATACATATTTCCTCGCCGGAGCACAACTGAACTTCATGCAGGATGTCATCCTCAGGTGCAGGTCGTAAATAACAGATTTTAATATGCACCTGGCGATTACATCGTGCATGAAACTTACACACAAAGGTACACACACGGACATACATATATACTAGCTTGAAGAAATGGCATGTCTAGCCACACGGATGAGCTGTGATACAGTAAAACAGTCTGTCCGGGGATGATTATATACGCTCATCTTGTAGGTTGAGCACTTATGAAGTAAAGGAATTTGTTGGCTGCTGCTGATAACGATAAAAAAATAGCTTTTCACTATGAATTGAGCACTCTGGTAACCGGAAATGCTTATATCTCATATACGAGGTTTTAAAAATTCCATTTCTCCGTTGCGTGAGCTGATGGTGTAAGGGTGAGATTTTCCGACTGATGTCATAGCGGTCGAGTTTCGCCTCTGGCTTGAAGCAGTCGATTGTCTTCACACTGATGATCTATGGTACAGCGAAACAGTCGGTCAGTGGATAACTATATTTATATATATATGTGTGTGTGTGTGTGTGTGAATAAGTTATATAGAATGTCTTAATCCAAACACGGTTGATTAAAAAGAACCAATAAGATCTGTCTGTTTACTTTTTCCAATTTTAGAATATGTCGGAGTACAGGCATCCTTCGGTTAATGCGCATTCGATTAGTGCACTAAAATTTTTATACGCAAAAATTCGATTAATGGATACATAAAACGCGATTATTACAGTAAAGCATTCTTCATTTTAAACATAGTAATTAAAAATTGATTTGTTTATAATTACCGATGTACACATTAGCTGCACTAATAGAGGGATACCTGTATGTTAACAACTCCCCAAATATTTTTCTTTCTTTCTTTCCGTTTTCGATTTCTTTCTTTCTTTCTTTCTTTCTTTCTTTCTTTCTTTCTTTCTTTCTTTCATTTGTCGTTCTTTCTTTCTTTCTTTCTTTCTTTCTTTCTTTCTTTCTTTCTTTGTAGATCCGTCTTTTTCATTCAATTTGGCTTAAGATCAAATTTCACTTTCTTTCTTTCTTTCTTTCTTTCTTTCTTTCTTTCTTTCTTTCTTTCTTTCTTTCTACATCCGGCACTTTCATTCAATTTAGTTTAGGCCCAAATTTAATTTTCTTTCTTTCTTTCTTTCTTTCTTTCTTTCTTTCTTTCTTTCTTTCTTTCTTTCTTTCTTTCTTTCTTTCTAGATCCGACACTTTCATTCAATTTAGCTTTGACTCAAATTTAATTTTCTTTCGTTCTTTCTTTATTTCTTTCAATTTTGCTTCAACTTAAGTTTTTTTTTTGTTTCTTTCTGTCTTTCTTTCTTTCTTTCTTTCTTTCTTTCTTAGTAAAGCTTTAAATTCTTTCAATTTTGCTTCAGCTGAAATTTCTTTCTTTTTTTCTTTCTTTCTTTGTATACCAACATTTTCTTTCAATTTTTGCTTCAGCTGAAATTTCTTTCTTTCTTTCTTTCTTTTTTCTTTCTTTCTTTCTTTCTTTCTTTCAATTTTGTTTCAACTGAAATTTCGTTTTCTTTCTTTCTAGATCCTACCCTTGTGTGATGCAATGATTGGTACCTGTTGTATTGTTTTCATTTAGCTTTTCATTTTTATTTTGTTTGTTTTTTTAGTTTTCCCATCAAAACCTACTTTTCTTTCATTCCTTTCTTTTTTTTTTTTCATTTTTGTAAACCAAAATTTTGATTATTACATTCATAGTACTATTTAGTGCGGTAAAACATTCTTCAGTTTCACCATAGTAATTAAAAATTAATTTGTTTATAGCTACCGATGTACACACTAGCCGCACTAATCGAGAGATTCCTGCATCTTAAAAACTCCCAAAATATTTTTTCTTTCTTCTTTCTTTCTTTCTTTCTTTCTTTATTTATTTATTTATTTATTTCTATATCAGACACTTTTATTCAATTTGGCTTAGGCTCAAAGTTAATTTTTTTCTATCTTTCTTTCTTTCTTTCTTTCTTTCTTTCTTTATTTATTTATTTATTTATTTATTTCTAGATCAGACACTTTCATTTAATTTGGCTTAGGCGCAAAGTTAATTTTCTTTCTTTCTTTCTTTTAAAACTCTGTCCTCTAATTTCTTTCATTTAGACTCTGTACTTTCCCTATTTTAAAATTCTGTACTTTATTTTCTTTCTTTCTTTCTTTCTTTCTTTCTTTCTTTCTTTCTAGATCCGAGACTTTCATTCAATTTGGCTTAGGCTCAAAGTTAATTTTCTTTCTTTCTTTCTTTCTTTCTTTCTTTCTTTCTTTCTTTCTTTCTTTCTTTCTTTCTTTTAAAACTCTGTACTCTAATTTCTTTCTTTTAGACTCTGTACTTTCCCTATTTTAAAATTCTGTACTCTATTTTTTCTTTCTTTCTTTCTTTCTTTCTTTCTTTCTTTCTTTTTTTCTTTCTTTCTTTCTAGCTCAGACAATTTCATTTAATTTGGCTTAGGCTCAAAGTTAATTTTCTTTCTTTCTTTCTTTCTTTCTTTCTTTCTTCTAAAACTCTGTACTCTAATTTCTTTCTTTTAGACTTTGTACTTTTCCTATTTTAAAATTCTGCACTTTATTTTCTAACAGTTAACCCCGAAACTGGGGTAAAAACAATATGAAAGTATAAAAATAGGCTTTAATATCAGAAACATTTTGTAAAATGTTATTATAAGCAATAAATCTTTGAAGAAAAAAAAAACTATTACCAGCAATACATTTTTGAAAATGAAAAATATTACCAACAATACGTTTTTGAAAAAATATTACCAGCAATATATTTTTGGAAAAAAATATTACCAGCAATACATTTTTGGAAAAAAATATTACCAGCTATATATTTTTTAGGGAAAAATATTACCAGCAATACATTTTTGAAAGAAAAAATTATTACCAGAAATAGATTTCTGATAAAACAAAATATTACCAGCAAGTTTTGTCGTCATTAAATAACCCATTGAGGTGTTGATACGCCGTATAACAAAACAACCCAAACCAAACCAGCAATATATTTTTGAAAAAAAAAATTACCAACAATGTTTTTAAAAAATAAATGTTACTAGCAATACATTTTTGAAAAAAATTATTATCAGCAATAATTTTTTAAAAAGATTATTACCAGAAATACATTTTTGACAAAACAAAATATTACCAGCAACAAAAATTTTGTCGGCATTAAATAACCCATTCAAGTTGATATGCCGTAAAACAAACCAAACCAAAGCAATATATACTGAGATAGATAAAAACAAATATTACCATCAATAAAAATTTTGTCGTCATTAAATAACCCATTGAGGTTGATATGCCGTAAAACAAATCAAACCAAATCTGTGTTGAATGCTATTTTATTTAATGTCGTCTGTTTATTTTGTATAATAACTTCTAGAGTTTTGAGTCTTTTCTTGCATTGGGTGCTTTTTTGTAGCATACCTACGGACGACAATGGGTATGTCCCCATTCACATAAATACAGTAGTAAAAACCTTATGTTGGATTGCAGCTGGAAATTCGTCTCCAGGTGTGATGGTCAAACTTTCTGTCTCTAGGCTCTATCGAAGGGCACAGTGTCGTCTCGGGAAAGTTACTCGACCCCGTTTTATACGTGGTCTACGAGGAATTTGGGGCCCAGCAAACGGGCTCGGATACCCCACATTAAATTCTGCCTTGTGCCATATCTGACCACGTGGAGCGGTTGGTAGATATTCTGAAGTTTGAAATTCGTCTCCAGCTGTGCTGGTCAAACTCTCTGCTTCCGGGCAGAGAGAATCCCCAGACGAGGCTATGTTGAAGGGCACTCTCGTCTCGGGAAACAGCTACCCGACTCCGTTTTATACGGAGTCTGTGGGGAATTTTTGGCCGAGTCTACGGTTTCGGATACCCCGCATTAAATTCGACCTTGTCCCACATCTAACCGCGTGGGGCGATTGGTAGATATTCTACAGTTGGAGATTCGTCTCCGGCTGTGCTGGTCAAACTCTCTGCCTCTGGACAGAGAGGATCCCCCAGACGAATTCAACCATTTCCTTATCGTGAAATCAAAAGAAAATAGTTGAATCCGTCAACACAGCAATAATAACAACTTAATAACTTAACGGAAATGATATATAGAACTGGGAGGGGAGTAGGGAGAAAAGAAAAAGGAAAAATGAAAAAGAAAGAGGAGATAGAAAACAATAATACAGATATATACAAATGAGTGTTACAGCAAGGAGAGAGAGGGAGAGGGAAGTCAATCGAAAGAGGCTGTAATTGGGTTTTAACAATTTATGTAAAGGATAGATTTCAATGCTTGATAGAAATTTAGATGTCTAATAAAAATTTGATGATTTCTATCAATTTAAATATTTAATTTTACAAGCAAATAGTTTAGGGGCTTAATATAAGTTAACTACTATTTTTATTAACACATTTATATAGAACATATTAAAGAAATATTTAAATTATAATAATTTATTTACCCGACCAATGGTACTTCCTTAATATTGTAAAAAATGTTACGGTAACATCTATATTAGTTTTATTTTTAATCTAATCTATGAATGCAATTTTTCTTTATTATTTATGGGTAAACCTCCTTACATAAGGTTTAGGTTCCATTGTGGAATAATATTTGAGGTTAATATTAAAGATTTTGCTTTCTTCTTATATATATCACAAACATATTCATGCAAATCCCATATATACATACGTTTATTCACATGCACAAATACACACAGAGACACACGTGTAACAGTATACACAAATGTTCATCTATATTCTTACATAAACTATTTACACATACGTTTATAAATAATTACCTATATTTTAATATTTGAAATTTATTTAGATTTTTGTTTGATTTCATAGTTAAAGTTTAATGTTAGGTGACTTCTGAAATGCTTAATTATTAAAAAAAATTGTCAATATTTTACTATTAATATTGATAGTTAAAGAGTGGTATATTTAAATTTAAGTTAAGTTATCAATTTAAAATAAAAATACCTCCAGAAGATAAATATACACTCTCATAATTCTAATTATAGAACATTAAAAGAGAAAGTGATATTAAATATTAATAAGAGTAATTTTAAAACCCCATTAGAATGACCCATGTTCTTCCATTTGAGTACAATTCCATACACATACACACACATATACATATATACACACATATATATATATATATATATATATATATATATATATATATATATATATAATCGACTCTCCCGTCGAGATTCGACGTATGAGGGTCAAGCAGATCAGTTTCCTGGAAACCGACAGCCCGACAACAGCACATGAGATTTGATTATTGTGGTGAATGTTTCGTATATATATATATATATATATATATGCCCATATACATACACACACATATACATACATATACATACACATATAACCATATATATACATATATACACATCTACATACATATATGCATACACCTACATATACACACACGATTATATACATAAACAAGCATATGAAAAGAACTCTACCCATAACCATACATACATGCATATGTATTTATAATACTATGTTATACATATATTCACACATATTACAAATATTAATTCTAAAATATTTACATCTATATACATATACATACGCAGATTACATGCAATTTTATATTCAAAATAATATATATATATATATACACACCCATACATACGCACATATATATATATTCATATACACATACATACACACATATATATATATTCATATACACATACATACACACATACATACATGAAAAATACACATACACATATATATACAACGATACCTAGCACAAAATGCTAGTACCTATACATACCACATACAATATATTCATACTCATACACATGCATATATATACATATATACATACACATACCCCTATACATATGTGCCTACAATTCATACAAACACATATATTCATATAAGCACCCTTTTCCAAAATGCCCATATATATATATATATATATATATATAAATATAAATTCACATATAAATGTTTAATTACATCTACTTTTTAGAGTACATACGAACAAGTACAGCATCCATGTGTTCATACATTCATTTCAAAAAAAAAATTAATATTTTCCCTTTTTATATAGTTATTTCTAAATGTGTTTAGTTAAATTGAGGTGGCTTTTATGTCTACATTTAAAAACCATCTCGCTATGTTTGTTCAGTAATATGTCTGGATCTTTATGCCTTATTATTAGGATTTTCTCTTTTATGCACAAATTACATCGGTCTCTGAAGTTTATTGGAGTTCTAGCTCTCGAGACGATTCTCCATTTTACTTGTGGGGTTAGGTTGCTATCCAACAAATCCCAATAATATTTAGATAGTGCAGTTTGATGTTTCTTGGATTTATTTGTGAAGGATTGGCGATGGTTATAAAACCGTTGCTTCCAATTTCCTGTCGATATTCCGATGTAGATCTTCTTCTGTTTAATATCTTCTTTGGGGAAAATTGTAGCTTCGTGTATTACGTTTTCTGACAAACATATTCCCTCTAGTGGACAAACGGATCCTTCCCTGCAATTACAGGTCGATTTGTTCTTTTGGCCCCCATTAAGATCTTTTTGTAGTTGATTATTATGAAATTCACTTCAAATTTTGCTATTGTGGGAGTTAATAGTTTTTTCTACGTTGCTCATGCAGGAATAACTAATTTTTAAATTAATTTTGTTGAACAGATTTTTAACAGTTCATCTTTTCTAAAATGTTTGTCTATTAGTTTAAGAAAATATTTCCCTATATTAATATTCGAAAGCTTACAGAAAGGCGGGTTGAACCATAAAATTTACCTTTTTCTATTTTTGGACTTAGAGGATGTGTTATTAATAGATTTATCTATATAAGTTAGTGTTTGTTTAATTTGCTTGATTGTATGTTGATTTATTTTGATAAAATATATTTTTACTAGAAGATAGTTTATTTATTCTAGTATTTACAATATTAGGAATCTGTTTTATAATTGCTTTAGGGTGGTCGATATTTATGTATATGGGCGATTGGTTTTCCTTCTTGAAGGGTTTATAAGTGTTATTGTCGAGATCAAATGTTACGTCTAGAAAATTTACTATTTTCAGGTTAGATGATATTTCGATATATATATATATATATATATATATATATATATATATATATGATCTTTTCCTTATTTTCCAAGATATACTTAGAAAGAATTGTGAATAGTAAATACGCAAACAGCACAATTCTTTCTAAATATATCTAGGAATTAAAAACAAAACGCACCTCACACCAAAAATATCTTGGAAAATAAGGAAAAGATCATCAGGCTATAACAACTAATCCAAAACTTGCAAACTTTGCTTGGAGGAAAAAAATAGCTATCATTACCTTTCCAGACCCAAATAAATTATTAAATAAACGATCCGAGCACATCTCTAGACCTTTCAGACATTTCCTTCTCGCACTTATTTCCCACTCCTACGCATACACTCTCTCTAATTTTTTCTTTTTTTTTTTTTGAGTTATATTTTCGAATTTCTTTTTGAATTTGTAGGTCTGATGAATTGGATCGTGATGTAATAAATTATAACCAAGGAATATTAGCGTTTG